AATAGAGAAGAGCATAAATGCATGTATCTATTACCTGTATTACCTGTCATGGACAACAACGTCATTGCACACCGAACATGTAAGGTATTTATAATAATATAACAAGTACACTTTGAATACTTGATATCAGAACTTAATTCCTATCAAATTAAAAATTTGAATGTTTAATGAGCCCTGCTTTGTTTGTGTGTTTTAGTAAGGAGAAGCTCATCGACATCATAATAGTCTTTTGGTACTTTGGAAAAGTAAGACAGACGGACAGAAACAACAGAAATGTGTCCAGCACGCTCATATGACCGTAAGCAGTTGCGAGTCCGGTAAAACACCTGCCTAAACAACAAACTGGAATTTTCAGAGACGGATCCTATTCATAACTCCTCGCCCATCCCAAGCAGGGTCCATCTTAAGGTATTTTTTCTGATGGTCTTCATCAGTAACTGATGGCTGATTTGATTGGCCTTCCAGGGTTGCGGATGTTGCTGAGTATGTGTCATAATTTTCCTTTTTCAAAAGCAATTCTTTGAATACTATGATAACAACTTCAAATTGTCTCCTGGTTTTGATAGAGCAGATAGGATATTTTGCTTTCTGACCTCCTGGCTTTAGTAAGACAAAACAGACAAAAACATTAGATAGAACTGATTAATTCTAAGGTAAGGAATCCATCGTTTCTGTAAAAAGCAAAATGTTGTTTTAATTTAATCAAAATCAGGAGGAACTTTAAAATAAATGACACAAAATACAAAACTGCATGCAATGTCCTGCGTCTAAATTAGGCCAATATTTAGATATGCTAGACTGCACTCTTTCATAAATCCGATTGCCTATAGAGCACACTGTTTCAATTAATTACAGCGTTGAGTCAAATAATACGCTTCCTTGTCAACCTGAATTTCACACAATCAAAGCGTGGTAGAGGCACTCGTGGCCGAGAGTCTAAGGTGTTGGCCTCTCTTTCAAAGGTCCCGAGTTTGAATACGGGTAGCGACCGAAAAAAAATTTCTTCTCTAAAATTGTCTCCTTTCTTCACCTTTTCTGCTCTCTAGCAATGTCTGCTTTCGTCTCCTTTTCCTGCCCCCACCCGTTCACCTCCTTTGCCCCCTCCTCTGGGCTCCTGTCTCTTTCTGCAACCTTTCTACTGCTACTCCTTGGCTCCTTCTTACTGCTGTCTTTCAGCCACACCACTGATCTTCTGATAGGAAAGATCTACACCTAGCCTTCTCGGACAAGGTCTAAAAATCACGGAGGCCCCGTGTGCAAGTTGCGCACGTTAAAGATCCCTTGGTGGTCTAAAACAGATACGAGTAGGTTTTGGCCGCCACCTGGGCAAAATTCAAAATTTCCTACCAACTGAAAAAGTTTAATGTGCCTCGCGTGCTCATGACCTTATGCAGTTGCGAGCGCCGTAAAACACTTACCAGAAGAAAAAAAAGTGGTAACTTTCTTTCGATTACCAGTTTATTATGATTTACTTACCGATGTAAATACACCAATGTAAGGACATGAAGTTAATTTTTTTTATTGGTGCTATGAGGTTAACAAAAACAAAAATGAAGGGAATTTGGGGGGCGGGGTACGTTATACCGCCGATATCGCAATCTTTTGGCTCTGCAGAAAAAAAATCATAATAAGTATTATAATAATAGCATGTATATAGCGCATATCCATGCTCAAGAGCATGCTCTATGCGCTTTACAACTATTATTACCCCAGCAGACCCCCCTGAGAACACTCAGAAACATTCTTGGCTTCCGCAGAAGCATACAGTGCAATCAGCGGATTTCACGCGCTTAAACACTATCAAACAGACAAGATCGTTCACTTTCTACAGCCGGATACCCATTTCCACCTGGGTGAAGTGAGGAAAATTTGTACAAAGTGCCTTTCCCAAGTACACAACGTTGGGCCCCTGACGGG